AATAAATAAATAAATAAAATAAAAGTTAAATGACCCGAAACTAACACAAACCAAAGTGGTAAGCTACATACATATAATAGGTATAAAACATGTAAAATATATCATATATAATATACAATAAATATCTATATTATAAAAGACCTGTGGCTATAACGCTGTAACGAACAAACACCCAGCCACCAGGAGATGCACGGAGCACCTTTCGGTCCCTCCCCTGGCCCCCGAGCTGCTCACCGTGAGGGAGGGGTGGTGGCGGGGTGGGACTGGAGACTGTTGAGTGGTGGTGGCTGGGGGAAGTTTCATGGAGCCATCATGGGGCGGGGGGAGTTTCACGGAGCAGTTGCGGGGTTGGGGGAGACTCGCGGAGCAGTCGCGGGGCAAGACTTGCGGAGCAGTCACGGGGCAGGGGAAGCCTTGCGGAACAGCTGTGGGGTAGGGGGAGCCTTGCGGAACAGCTGTGGGGTGGGGGAAGCCTTTTGGAACAGCTGTGGGGTGGGGGGAGCCTTGCGGAACAGCTGTGGGGTGGGGGGAGCCTTGCGGAACAGCTGTGGGGTGGGGGGAGCCTTGCGGAACAGCTGTGGGGTGGGGGAAGCCTTGCGGAACTGCTGTGGGGTGGGGGGAGCCTTGCGGAGCAGTGGCGGGGCAGGGGTAGCCTCGTGGAGCAGTGGCAGGGCGGGTTGGGCCTCAAGGAGCAGCGGCCATGAGCATTGCATAGCAGTCGTGGGGTGGGGGGGAGTTTTGTACAACAGTGGCGGGGCGGCAGAGGCCATGCGACGGAGGCCAGGCTAGGCCTAGGGACCCTACTTGCACATGATTTTCATGCACTTAGCCTCTAGTCTATCCTATCTAATAATAGACAAACAGGGTGGTTGACTACATTCGCTACGCCCCTCATTGGCTAATCAGTGTGATATGCAAATTAACCACCAACAAAGATGGTGGTTAATTTGCATATGTAGGCTCCAAGCGGCAGAGCGAAGACTGAAGGTGAGGTGGAGCCACAAAGACGGAAGACGGAAGGCGGCTCTGGCTGGAGCGAAGGCCTGGGTCCTGGGTGCCAGAGGAAAACCGGTGCCAGCAGCCAGGAGAAAGGAAGGCCTCTAGAATATATATAAAAGCCTAAGCGACCATTACGACCAGAACAACCGGTCGTTATGATGTGCACTGACCACCAGGAAGCAGACGCTCAACACAGGAGCTGCTCCCTGGTGGTCAGCGCACTCCCACAGTGGGAGCGCCGCTCAGCCAGATGCCAGGCTCATGACTAGCAACTGCAGCTGCAGTGGCGGAAGCCTCTCGTGCCTCTGCGGCAGTGCTACTGAGTGGCGGTGGTGGTGGCGGTGGTGGTGGCGGTGGTGGTGGTGGCAGGCGCAGTGGGGCCGGGGATGAGTGGTAGTGGAGCTGCGCCTGGCCCTGGCTGGGGCTCCTCCCCGGCCGCCTGCCGTTTCGGCACTGCTACATTCCTCAGGGGGTTAGGGGGCATGTCGGACTGCTGGGTTTCGGCCCGATCCCCGCAGGCCAAGGTCCCAGATTGCAAGAGGGTGCAGGCCAGGCTGAAGGACCCCACCCATGCACGAATCTGTACACCGGGCCTCTAGTATGATATAATATCATAAAACAAGATAGACACCTCCAAATACCTATGGACTATTAACCAAAACTTAACATTTATTTGACCAAAATAAAAACTTATTAACTCTCAAAGCAGAAATTCAGGCCATAGTCTCTGATCACAATACCACTAAACTAAAAATGAAAATACCAAACTTAGTCCCCAATCACCTGTACCTTGCCAAGTAAGATCAATGCAATAAAATGAACCCTTAAGTTTGTTACATAGAGTGAGAATTTTAAGATGAGGCTGTTATAGGTCTATAACTACAAAATGATGCAGAAATTGAAAAAACATGTAAATACCACAATAGCACCTGATCCTCTCATAAGTCCTAAAATTGTCAAAAGGAGGACAAGTAAAAGTTAAACTGTAGCTCCTTGGACAGGTTAATTCAAAAGTATTAGGCTATTTCTGTTTGCAATAGGATGCAAGTGGGTTGCTTGAATCCATGGCTATACATGACCTGAAATACCTTGCATATATTCTCTGTGGACACCACGAAGGTGAAGTCACCTCATCTTAAATGTAAATTTCCTTTCTTCAGAGCCTGGTTGCTGCTTGAGAACGGTGCAGGCAATGAGTCTTAGTAACAGTCAAGTTCTACCCCTCCCCCAGGCTCTGCTTTCACCTATTATCTCAGTTCTTGACTACTCCCTCCCCTTTTTACTCTTGACCACTGCTTCCAAAATCCTCCTATCCTACTCCTCCACCTGGGCTGGTGTCTACTTATTTCTCTTTCCTACTTCCACACTATTCCTTATTCAGACTTGATGATTCCCACTAGACACTGGAAGAGTGAAACTAATTTGTTAATTCTTTCCCCTAACTTATCAACTTCACAGCATCATTTCCCTTAGGAATCAGACTCTGAACCAAACTGAGTTTTAATTTCTATGGGTAAAATCCAGCTCACCACTTTTTTGGAGTAAATAGCAGGCATGCCCATTTATTTATATACTGGAGACCCGGTGCACAATATTTGTGCACAGGTAGGGTCCCTAGGCCTGGCTGGCGATCAGGGCCAATCGGGGCCTTCCAGCTGCTGGTTGGGGCCTCCCTTCGTTCTGTGCCGCCCACTGGTGGTCAGCGCATGTCATAGCGAGAGATCGAACTCCCAGTCTCCCGATCAAACTCCTGAGAGGACACTTAGCATATTAGCCTTTTATATATATAGATGGTTCAAGACTGCTTTCCGGCAATAAGGGCAGAGTTGGGTAGTTAAGACAGACACCATACGGCCTGCAAAGCCTAAAGTATTTACTCTGGCACTTTTCAGGAAGTTTGCCAAGTCCTGTCCTAGCACATCTATATAAATGGTTGAATTTTAAGCAGGAATTATATCCTCTCTTTTGTCCTAAAGATCTCTTCCTCCACCTCTCAGACCCAACAGCTTCAGCTTAGACCTTGAGGCCAGAGCAGACCTAGTCCTGGTGGAGATAGGCCAATATCTATCTACCCCTGAGGCCAGGGAATAGGCCTCATCCACTTGTTGTAGGTCAGCCTGATTAAGAGCCTACCATCTGATATGTGGCTGCTTCCAACATTAAAGGTATGGTGTGTCCTATGGGAGAAATGGACCCTGATCACTGTGGTCTTAGAGAACAGAGTCTGGGCTCCTCAGCAGGTTCTTGTAAGTCACCTGCTCAGACCTGTCCACCCCGTGACTTGATGTCACCTGGCTCTCCCTGTTCTAGTCTATACTTCTTTGCTAGCTCTGCAGATCCAATCCTCACTTGTTCTTTATTTACTTTTTAGATTGTTGAATGATGACAAAATATGGCCGTCATTTTCTCGAGCTACTATATAGAAAAGATACCTATTTTGGCGGTTGTAACACTGATAAATTCTCTTTACTTAGTTATGTCCTGACTTAGCTTAAACTTGGGTTGATTCTAGAGATGAAACAAATTACATAGCTAACCCATCCCACACCATCAATCAAAATATTTAATTCTTAGCTTTACCAGAGTATACAACTCATTTAGCATTGTTGGTTGCTCACTACCGAGGGAAAAAAATTAAAAGAGAGACTGGATGCTTGTATGCTATTATTACTGTTCTCCTACAGTCTCTGGTAGGTAGGGTTAATAGCTTTAGGACAGTCTATCTGAAGGATCAAGAACATGAATTTTTTTCCTATCATACGAGGCAAAACATTTTCAGATACTTAGAATATCTGGAATTTTTCTATTATCAAAGAAACATCTTATTATTGATAATAAATGAAAGCAAATTATCATAGCATTATATAAATAAAGCTGTGAGTAGTTACTGATGTTACTATAAAACTTTAGAAGAGAGTGTAGAAATTGCAATTAAACTTCTGAATGATAGGAGTTGAAAAGGTAAGATGAAGGATTTAACTAAAGTGCAAACATCTGAGAAGACCAGAGGGACAGATACACAGCTGTTTGGGAAAGCACCTTTCAAATTTAAGGGATAGGAGGGTTTTGCTATAGGCATCAGTTGGAATTCTCTAAAACAGTAAGCTTCTATTATAAGGAATCAATTAGGAATAACAGCAGTACGTTTCAGTTTACTTTGAAGAAACTTACAATTGACCCTAGAAATAGCCTACCTTTGTTTCAATCCTCTGAGGTCTTATTTGAGTCCTTACTTGCCTACACTCTACAGTGATCTTAGCATCCTAAGACTAACTCAGGACAGGTACCTGACATGTTTTAGTAGATAAATAGGTTATAGATCTTTAAAATAAAATAAAGACCAACAGGCCTCTTAAATATACTCCACTTAAATAAAAATCTAAAAAGTTCCAAGTTAAAGATGCCCAAATTGAGCACTGAGGGGCAAATTAAAATTCTCTTTAATTATACTATAAACAGTCCTTGTCCCAACATCAACAAGTTTAGACTAATTTCTGCAGATATTGGAAAAAAAATCTTAGGATAAGAAAACTAAGAAAAATGGATATGGGACTTATTAAAAATTCTTAGATATCAGGCTATAATGCCAGAACATTGTTAAAGCTACTTTTCTAAAGATCTGGTTTAAAGTGAAAATCCTTCATGCCAAAGCTCCCCATCTAACAAGTCTTGTGGTCTAGATGTTGTGGACTTGATTGCATTTTACTCACTCCTAAAACAATTAATGAGGCATCATGGGGAACCACAAACCAATGTCTGAGTTTTCTCCTAAATCATATTCTAAGAAAATACTCCTTGGGTTGTTTAATATTAAGACAAAAAGTTGATCTGAAAAACAGCAACAATCACCTACTGATTTGTTATGCTTCCTTTAGGTTTTTTGCAACATATCAATAGGTTAGAAACTTTATGTATTTGATACATTTTGAAGTAAGAATAAAAAGTCCCAAAAGGTCTACTGTGGATTTCTGTAGAATATGATACAAGCTTCTTTAACTCACCTCCAGATGCCTTTGACCTTTCTTTCAACTTTTCCGTAGCCATTTCACCATAGCTGGGAAGTTCTGACATCTTCACTCCAGATCGAGCTTCTGCTATTAGCTGACGAGCTCTCTCTCTCAGCTGCCGACGTCGCTCTTCATCTTGCTGCTAAGATATATTGAACAGTTGCCAACTCAGTAATTGACAGAAATGCAATTTCATTTTCAATCTGATCATCATGATAGTAACTGGTTTACAGCATGGTGCTTGGCCCACATTATAAATAGGATGCTCTATATCAGTTGGATGTCACACCATTTTTAAAAGACATCGTAGAATCAGATTTAAAAAAAAAAACATTTACAAAATTATTGTATTAAAATGTCTTGTTAAAAATTCAAACTAGCTTCTAAAGAATGTTTGGCAGTATATATTACTGAGGAAGTAGCAGAAACGATTATTAATAAAATAATCAGGCTTATAGAAGAGTCATAATATTAAAAAAAATTTCAATTAATACCTACCTTATTTTTAAGAATAGAATTTAACTTGTTATTTTCTAATAAAAGCATAGAGCACTGACTAAAATACAGCTTTGATGGCAAAAAAATGTTGCTACACCATGTTGATAATATATAGGAAATGGTATTTTTAGGGGACTGAAGTAGGAATGGGAATAGTACATTAATTACACAAGTTATTGATCTTGGTAGTTTCAAAATCAGAACTGGGTAACTGATGTACGATCCCCGTTCCTACTCTCTCTCTCCCCAGAAGCACACTGAAAAGAAAAAGTAAAATACAATGTGGTTTTTGACATTTAAAATAACAAAAGACTACAGAGAATTAAATAACTAAAATAGTTTTTGCCTACTAAAAAGGGTTATTGTGAAACATACTTAACCAATGTGAAATTGCTTCATAAACTGGAAAGTATGTAAAATAAGGCATTATTATGACAAAACCAAAGCCTGAAATTATCTGGCCTAACATATCTTTGCAATATTACCTTCCCTTAACATCTCCCAGCCTCCATTAAAGCTCACATATATTCATACAGAATTGCTTGTATCATGTAGTTTCATGGATGTGAATATGTCATTTCCTCTTCCTGGAATGTTCTTTTCTCATCTTATTTAACTCCTACTCATTCTTCAAGATTCAGTTTAAACCCACTAAACTTCTCCAGACTATCCTTCCCTCCTCCCCACTGGTGGAATAAAGTAGTGTGTGTGTGTGTGTGTACTACTTTTTAAAATAATGCTTGTCATTATAAATCTGTATAAATGCTTCCTTCTCAGTAGAACTGGGCTACTTGAAGGCAGGAGCTATATCTGATTTATCTTTGTATCTATGGTCCTTGGTACTTGCTATAGAAATTTGAAACATGAAAATTTATAATTCATCCTCTCAAAAGCTTGTAATATAAAGGGAAAGATAAAATAGCCACAATAAAGAGGTCTTACCAAAATGCAGCTAGAGTTCAGAAGAACATTTTGGCTGAGGAACAAACAGAAGGCATCATGGTACCATGGTTTATGAGATGGGCCTGCAGAATGAGCAGGAATTGAAATGGGTACAGATGGGAGTTGGTAATTAAGTAAGTCAGTGTAGTAGAGACTAAGAGGTAGGAACAATACAAAGACATTGAGGCAGGAAAGTATTTTTGGGGAAAAGTACGGTCTAGTTTTCCTGAGCATAGGGCAAAAATAATGACAGAATGGCAAGGCAAGAAAAATGAAGCTATCTAGATAGACTGTAAAAGCCCTGTCCAACAGGATGAAGTACTTTATTTTTACTGTAATGAAGCTGAGGGCCAACTAAGTGTTTGGTTTTGCGTGTGACCAATCAGAGGTATAATTGAGAAAGGTTAATCTGACAAAAGTGCATAAGATAGGTTGACATAAAGGGACTGAAAAGAGACTCGTTGGGAGGCTACTATAATAGTCCAAGGAACTTGTAATGAAATCTAGAATTAGGATGGGGACAATGAGAATGGAAATAGACAAATGTAAGATATATATTAGAGATAGAATTGATACCTGTACCAATTCTTGGTAACTAATTAGATAGGGAGGGAAGAAAAAAAGCTGACTCAGAAGTTTAGAATGGTGGCACTAAGAATACAAATAGAAAAACCAAGAGGAACTATAAAAAAGGCAGGAGAGGAAGTTGGGGATAAGACAGATGGGTTGAGAGGCTAGCAGGCCATCTGAGTAAAGATGTTAGTATGCAGTTGGGAAGTGAAACTGAAGAAGCTCTCATGAAAAAGGGAGTAATCAACTAAAGTAAATGTTAGAAGTTAATAAATCTGAACATTAAAATAGGGAAATTAAATTTGGCAGGTAATATTATTAGATGCTGAGATAGTCACCGGATTGGTGGAACCCAGCTATCATGCTTTGAGAATCCCAAGTTACATGCAGGTGTGCTCCATTCCACAGTCCCAAGTAAGTTCTGCCTTGAGTTTTCTAGGCCGAAGTACCAGACATATGAAGGAAGAAGCCTTCACATGATCTCAGCCTTTAGCCATTTTAAGTCACTCCTGATGCTGAAGTCCTTTCAGCTGAGGCCATAGACAATATGGAACAGAGACCAAGCATCCCCACCATGCCCTGCCTGAAGTCCTGACTCACAGAATCTGTGAGCAAAAAACAATTGTTTACATCACTAAGTTTGGGGGAGTTAGTTACACAGCACTAGTAATCGGAACATATGCTTGATACCACACAGATTATTTTCTAGTTGCAAGGGGGAAAACAGAACTAGATCAAGGATTAGGGACCAATAATATAATGGTCAGGTTTTGCATCAGTAATATTAGGTCAATCATTTAATGTTTTTTGCTGTGAAACATGAAGTGCACACCACCTAGAACAGTCTAGTCCAAATATTTAAAGTGAATCCATTAAGCCTTTATATATAATTTCCAGTTATCATAAACAGGGGATAGAGAAACATGATGACATAGCAAGGAAGCAGTCAAACAAATTCAGAAGGTAGGATATTCAAGACAACTGACCTGGTCATTTTAACGAGAGAGTTATGAAAACAAACACTAAAAAAAACCCAACTAAACAATCACCATCACCACCAACAAAAGAGATTAACCAGATACGATGTATAGTCCTGAGTTAGATACTGGTTTGGATAAACCAGCTCTGAAGGACATTGTTGAACCAATTATAGAAATCTGAATATAATCAAAGTATTAAATAAGAAGAATGTAACTTGGCTAAAAAATAGTTTATATAGTAATAACTTCATTTTTTATCAAAATACATACACATATAAATATATATATACACAAAAACACTTAGAAGTACATTCACAAAGCTGTTATGATAGACTATCTAGATGTGGAAATGTGGTGTTTTTGTTTTCTTTCATTTGTCTTTATTTTAAAATTTTTGATAGTAGATATGTACTACTTTTATAACAGACTAGAGGCCTGATACACAAAATCTGTGCACCTGTGCAGTCCCTAGGACTGGCTGGTGATAGAAGCGTGAGTGTCTGGTGTGGAAGGGCAGGTCCCAGCTGACCTCTGGGCTCTGGGCAGCACCTGGGCCCCAGGGTCCCCACGCCCCCACCCACCTGCCTGATTCATCGAGCCAGGCGGTGGCCCTGTCCCCCGCCACCGCCGCTGGTCACCATCTGGCAACTGGCGGGGTGATTGGGCCCTGCTTGCACCCGCCTTGGCCTGGCGCCGCCTGCTCACCCGCTCCACCATCCCGCTGTGGTCCCACTCTCTTTGGGGCCCATTGGGGCCGGCAGTGCTGCGTTGCCAACACCTGCCATGATCCATGCCGCTCCCTGGTGGTCAGCGCACGTCATAGTGAATGGTGGAACTCCTGGTTGAGGGGACAATTTGCATATTAGGCTTTTATTATATAGGATATTTTTTAAAAAACATCTTGGGGTAAGGAAGGAAAGATATGAGATGGTAGGCTTCCTAGGGTGGGTGGTATTTGTGGTGAGGGCAAAAGAAGACAAAACCTAAAATTCAAGGGAAATTTTCTTAGTATTTAGAGACAAGAGCTTATTTGTAGTTAGAGAATTAGTACACACCAGGCAAAATGAGACTGTCAATGCAAGAATAATATACAAAAATCCTCAGTACACTTTTAATATTTCTGAACTTGGAAAATATACTAGAATAAAAAGAAATACAGGCTTGATAATGGTGAGTTTTGTGACAGTTGCTGATATTTCTTGATCTTTAATGTGATAAGTCCTTTATATGCATGATCTTATTTAATTTTCACAACCCCAATGAGAATACTTAGATTTAGAATTTCAAGATCACACAGCTAGAACTGATGTCAGAGCCAGGAATCCAGCTCAGGTCTATTTGACTACAGAGCCAGCCCTTGCTCTGAACCACCAAACTATCTGATCCCCAAAATTATCAAATTACATGACCAACTGAGGAAAATTGAGCTTTTACTAAACTTTTTCATCTTTCAAACTTAAGAAAAGTTAAGAGCACTAATAAAAACCATTATTGGATATGCCTCAGGCAACTAGATTTAAGTGAATTTCATTGTGTGAATAATAACTTCTTGGCAGAGCTGGAATTTGGTGATTCAGACTAAGATGATGTGATCTTAGGTCATCTGAGTTAAAATGAAATAAATGATTCTACCTTTCTGAATATGAAATGGAAAACTAATTTTTTCTCACAAGCTGCCACCTTCCCCAAGCCCACCCCCTCCTCCTCCTCAACTCCCATCTGTAAAGATTTCTAAGAGTGGACCAAGAGTGCAACTTAAAGCAGACAATTATTAATAAAACTAACTCTAAATACTAATTAGGGACATTTCATCAATTTCCATGTAAATTGTTTGTTTGTACCTATTTACCCATCATTGTTCTCTATACAATAGAAAAAAATGCAAATGAACAAGTCAGAATGCGCCCTAATGGGACTTTCTGTTTATAACCATTAGCCCAGAGGTGTGCTGTAATTCAATTCTCAAGTAGTAAGATTTAGCCTCATTAACAGACTGCAAGGGCAGGTTACAACTCATAAAACCCTACAGTAAACAAAGTTTATGGACACAGCACAAAATCTTGAGCCTGATTGACAGAATTCTGGTTCCCTATCAGATTGCCTTGATTTACTTTTCTACTAATGTCCTGACACCACAGAGAAAATTCTGCTT